GAAGTGGCAAAAACCATGTACCTGCCAACCTCCTATCAAAAGTCAGCACGGGGCCAGCACAATCCTACTCTATATTTCTCCACTCTGAAAAACACCAGCCTAGAACTGAGAATAGCCTGGGCATAGCAGGAGCATGTGTGTGTGTGTAACTGAACATAATGCAAAGGCCATAAAACATCAGCAGAGGGGAAACTGCCAAGTCAGAAAGTAATCGTTCCAAATGTGTGGTGTCGTACACCTGTAGCCTCCACACACAAGAGGCTAGGACAGGAGAACCGCCATAAGTTTGAGGCCAAGCTGGGCTACACAGTGAGTTCAACCCAAAGCAGCCTGGGTTACACAATGAGACAATGACTCAAAACAACAACAACAACAAAAAGAAATAAAAAATGAAAAGAGGGGGTGCACCTGATGGCCTCTGAACTACAGAGAAGAACCAGCCACTCAGTGTGGTGCACTTCAAGGGTGCTATCCGGAGTTGTCACTGTCATTTGTTTCAAGGTCTCAGAAACTTAATCCGTTTCCTGGTGGTGTTTACTTAGTCCTAAGGTGTGATTGCACCTCAGAAGAGGGGTCTGCAAATTAGGGCTAATGGGTCAAATTTGAAGCACTGCTTGTTTTTTGTAAATAAAGTTTTACTGGGACATTTTACAAAAAAGGAAAAGAGGGGCTGGAGAGTGGTTAAGAGCACTGACTGCTCTTCTAGAGGACCTGGGTTCAATTTCCAGCACCCACATGGTAGTTCACAACTCTAATTCCAGTTCCAGGGAACCAACACCCAAGGCAACACACCACTGCACATAAAATAAAAATAAAAAATAGCCTGGCGTTAGTGGCACACGCCTTTGATCCAAGCACTCAGGAGGCAGAGGCAGGTAGATCTCTGTGAATTCGAGGCCAGCCTGGTCTACAGAGTGAGTTCCAGGACAGCTTCCAAAGCAATACAGAGAAACCCTGTCTCTAAAAAACCAAAATAAATAAATAAATAAAAATGAAAATAAAGAGAAGGAAAAGAGGTCTGGGTTCAATAGGTCTTAACCACTCCATGAAAATATAAAAACCCAAATTTGAATCCCCAGAACCCATGGGTGGGCCATGTGTCTGTGATCCTTGTGGCCCTACTGTGAGATTTATGGGAGTTAGAGACATAAGAATCCCAGAGGCTCTGGAATCAGCTAGCCTAACATGTGCAGTGGCAAACACCAAAAGACCCTGTCTCGAGATGAAAGTTGAGAATCAATGTTTACCTCTAACCTCCTCATGTGTATGATATGATGTGTGCACCCACATGCATGCCTGCACACACACACACACACACACATACACACACACACACCACATACAAACACAAAAGAGAAAAGAAAGGGAGAGAGAAGGAAAGCGAATGAGCCAGTAGGAAGGGATGCTTCAAGGCACTGTTTGGTGCTAGCTCAAGTGGCTTTCTGAGTGCAGTCTACACAGTCTACTGCTTGTGTCTGCTATCTGGAGGCAATTGGAACAATCAGAGCTGCAGAGGAAAGTATGAAAGCGTAGCTGGAAGGCCAGCAAGGCCCCAGTGGTAAAAATACTGCTGTCACCAGTAGCCCCATGCTGGCCCTGCCCTCTGATCGTCCAGTCCCAGTGCAGATGGGAAACATTAGGTGACCCAACCTAGCTCACTACAGAGTAACGTGAAGAAAGTATCACACAGTGTGAAAAGGGAGTCAGGACCTCAGCAGGGCAGACCAGAAGAGCACACGAGCACACAGGTTCAAAGGTGAAGGTCTTTGCAGACACCACAAACGATCCTGCCCTTGAGTTCCACCAACTGCCAGGGACAGTTTAAGCCCCTCTGTAGCTGCTCCCTTTTTCTGTACCTGACATGCCAGGCAACAACTTCTGTTCAATTCTACTTATTCCTAGACAACCACCAACCATAGAGTATACCGATTTGAGGAGACCTGGTGAATACAGCAGTTTTGTTGGCCTAAGTCAGCCAGTGTGGGCTGCACCCCAACCAAACCTATATTCTTAACACTCAAAGGAAGCACATAGCCAGGCTGGGAACACTGCTAGCAGCATCCTCTCCGCAGCTCCAGGTTGTGACACCGGTACCCAAGCTGGTCAGCACCATTCCTGACTCCCACACACAACCACACCAAGACAGAGCATGCCCAGAAGAGCAAACATGGCCCTCTTGAGGCCACTTTCCTCCCAGCCATCTCCTGACTCCCTAAGGTACACCAAGATACTGTAGTGATCCATAGCAAATCTATTAACATAAAGTGAGCTAAGAGCACTCATCAAGACGGGGTTGAAAAATGGGGGATACACATGGTGAGATATTGCCTTTAACAAAGAACAAAAGTGCACCATGTACAGAAGCGTGGATAAACGTTCTGCTTAAGGACGTTTTGGAAAGTCTAACAAGTCAATCACAGACACACTAGAGCCACATGGCTCCACTTATGAGGCGCCCACCATGGTCAAGCCAGACACTCATAAGATTGCAATGTTGGCACTTTTAATCCCAGCACTCGAGAGGCAGAGGCAGGCAGATCTCTGTGAGCTGGAGACCAGCCTGGTCTACCAAGCGAGTTCCAGGACAAGCTCCAAAGCAATACAGAGAAACCCTGCCTTGAAAAACCAAATAAATAAATAAATAAATGATTGCAATGGTGGACAGTAGGGACAAGCACATGCTCTAGATATCTACTATAGGACACTGTGCTTACAGCTGGTAATTGGTCATGACTGACACTGGAGTGTTATGAACTTTGTGTGTGGCTTTTCTCATTGCTGCCACCCAATACTAGGTCAAGAGGAACTTAAAGGAGGACTGATTTTTATTGCAGTTCAGTTTCATAGAGGGGGCCTTGGTGGCTGGGGCTCTGAAGACAAGATGTTCACGCATGTGGGAGACATTTCACACCGAAACCATTATGCTTAGAATCTGTTAAGAGGATATATACATCCTGAAAAGTGCTCTCACCTGCCATAATAAAGCCAAAAATAGAAGGGAGGTGGGGGAAGAGCCCATCTGTTTGTTCTGATGGAGAAGGCCACACTGTTCTCACTAGAGCCCTAAGCAAGGTGATGGTGAAGGATTCATGCCATCTCCAGCCGTAAGAGAATCAGGATGATGCCTGAACTGCTACTTGTGACAGGGTACGCAGCACACTACATAGCCCAGCCTGAACTCAAAGCAATCCTTCTGCCTCAGCCTCCAGAGTGCTAAAATTATAGGTGTGAGACACCACAACCAGCAATATTTTTTAATTATTATAGCATTTTTCATTCTCCTGGATTTTGAAATCACAATGAACACAAACTTTGGTATCCATACTCCAGACCTTGAACCGGCTGGCTGAATGCTGTCAGTTACTTCCTATGATCAGATTGTGGGTGGCAAATTCTTCCAATGTGAGAAATGGGAGAGGCAGGGCAGCAAAGACCACTAGTGGCAGGTTCTTTGGGCCATCGGAACTCAGCCTACATCCATCTTTTCCTCTTCAAATCGCAATGTTTGCTTACCTAGTCTTTGAACTAGCTGTGGAGGCTCACACATGGCTGCCTCTTGTAAACTAGAGTCAGAGCAGTTTGTATGGCACTTCCTTACAGCCATGGATCCTGGCTCTGCCAGGGCAACCCCCGGCAAGGGGACACAGGTTCACAGACACAGAAACCACATGGGTTTGGCCAGCACTCTTCCTGCACAAAACACTCCAACCAAGTCTCAAAGCTTGGTTAGAAATAAGAAGGTAAACCAGGCTCCTCCTTCCCCAGTGTAGAGTGAAATACTGCAGGTGACTGCTATAAGCATATAAATTCACAACCACACATTGGCTTCCTGAGAGAAGGGGGCCAGGAAGGCCTTGTGCCCCGCTGTTCAATTCGGTGTCTTAACGGAAAGAGGGTCCTAGCCTTTTTCGCTCCACCCACACCACAAGCAGGAAGCACCTCCTCCCGCAGGAGCTCTCTAGTTCGGACCCACAAGCAAGGCCAGAACCATTTCTGGTGTCCTGCTGTTCTGCCGGTGAGCACCCAGATCTGTGAGTCACCACCGGCTTCACCATCAACATACTATATTTACAGGCACCCTGCAAAGGGGGCTTTGCGCGGTTCACCACCTTGTGGAGAAAGCCTGAATCTAGCTGGGAAGCGGAAGGTTTTGTTTTGTTTTGTTTTGTTTTTAATCCCAACTGTTAAAAAAAAAAAAAAAACAGGCAAGGGCAACGGATAGCTCTTTTCCCTAGGAAAACTGGATAGGCCGGTGTCCTCTCACCAACTCTCCAATGCAAGCGAATAATAATTCGGCGGCCTCCGCACATCCGCAGCATCCCACTGCTGTATGTCCATTCCGGAAAGGAGGACGTGGGAAAATTTTAAACCATCTGCCCAAAATTGAAATCTAAAAAGGCCCCAGCAGCATCCTGGCGGAGGTACTGTGGAGTCGCTAGTCCCTGGCGGTGGCGCACCTGCGCGTCCACACCCAGCGCAGCGTCACCGGCGGCTCCCTAGGCCTGCGCAGGGCTGGCCCTGCTCCCGCACACCGCAGGAAACCGGTTCGTTGAAATAAATGGCCAGTGGAGCGCAAGAAATCTAGAGAGGCAAAGAAGACCTCAAACTGAGCAAGGCCTCCGGACCCCTGATCACGGGAAGCGGGAAGGGAGGGAAATCGAGCAACCCCGCCACCCTACTCCATCCTGGTGCATCCTGCTTCATCCCGGTGCCACCCCGGGAGTCGCCACCCTGCGCCATCCCATCCACCCTGGGCGTCGTCACCCTTTTCTATTCCGGTGCCACCTCTGTCACTCTGGGCGTCACCACTTGGCTCCATCCTGGTGTCATCCCCCGCACCCCGCGCCACCTCTAGCCCACAGCGCAGGGCATCCACCGGCCCGACACACTCGGTGCCAGGCGCTCAGCGGAGCGTAAAGGGCCCTGAGGAGCCCGCCCCTGGTCCCCTCCCGTATCAGCTGTGGGGTTTGTGGGATCCCGAGGGCCGCGCCACTGCTCACCAAGGTTCCCCGCGATCAAGCTTCGGGCAGCGGCGTCCGACGGCCGGGCTCAACCATCGCAGTGTCGCTGCGGCGGGCGGGGGCCGCGCGTCACCGCGGGCAGCGCCCCGAACCCCGGCCCGCCCCTGCAGGCGCTCCAGCCGGCGCCGGCCCAGTGTCGCCCGCCCCCTGGCTTCCCCAGATCTCTTCGCTTATTCCTTTAAGAAATAAGTCTCGGATCGGTTAAAATGAGAGACGACATTGCTGAAAATGAACCTGAGGCTGCAGAGTACCCTGCTACGCCAGGCGGGGGTTCAAAAAACCAGCCCATTTAAATGTGCCTGCGGGTCGCCGAGGACCACGCGTGTACGCGGGACTATCCCCGGTAGGAATCACTCACCCTCAATGCGTGCTGGATGTGAGCAGCCATGAGCAGCCCGCGAGTTGCACGTGGGTGTTCCAACCCTTAACCCTTGGCTTCCCGGCTCCAAGAGCTGCTTTCTAAGGCTCTGTAGCGAGAGAAACGCTTTCAGGTTTCAGTGAGCAAATGTTATTCCGGATCCCCTTTCTATACTGGAGTTGGAAACTGGGGCCAAGTGCTGTGCCAGTAAGCTATATCCCGGTCTCTTGTTCCCTGGCTTTTTTGTTTGTTTTGTTCTGTGATAGGGTGTCCTGGTTTCATTTCTGCTGTTGTAATGAAGTCCCCAGTGAAAAGCAACTTTGGGAACAGATAGGTTTGTTTCAGCTTGCAATTCCAGTCTATCATTTTGGGAAAGTCAAGGCAGGAACTTCGAACACCTAGTTACATCATATCTGCAGTCAAGAACTGAGAAAAGCCGGCCAGTGGTGGCGCACGCCTTTAATCCCAGCACTCGGGAGGCAGAGGCAGGTAGATCTCTGTGAGTTCGAGGCCAGCCAGGTCTACAGAGCGAGTTCCATGACAGCCTCCAAAGCCACACAGAGAAACCCTGTCTCCGGGGGGGGGGGGGGAAAGAACTGAGAAAAAAATCTTCATTGCTTTCCTGTGTTCAGCTCCATTTCTCCACTTTTATACAGTTGCGGGAGGGATGCTACATAGGAGTGGTGCCACCCACAGGGGACAGGTCTTCTCACATCATTAGGACAGTTCCTTACAGAAATGCCCACAGGCCAGGCCAGTGTAGACAATCTCTCACTGAGACCTCTTCCAAGGTGCCAAGTTACAGTTGAAGGTAACCATCACACCCGGGCACTGTGCCACATACCTTTCGTCCCAGCAATTGGAGGCTGAAGCAGGCAGAACCCTCTGATCATGGCCTACATACTGCACAGAGAGTTCCAGGGGAACCAGGGCTACATAATGAGACACTGTTTCTAAGTTGACTAATTAATATAAAACAACCTAACCATAACATAGGCTCCTTGGGAACTTACTATGTTGACCAGACTGGCCTCCAAAGGATTGCATGCATGGTGACAACTGGCCTTTTTCTTTTTTAAAATTCTGTAACAGATCTCACTATCTTCCTCTGGCTATGTAGCTAGGCGGCTCTTGAACTTGCAATATTCTTGCCTTGGCCTTCTGAGTACCTGAGATACAAGTCTGTACCTCCATGTTAGTTTTCTTTCCCACTTCTAAATGTGGCCAGATGTGGTGGCATAATCTCAGTCCAGAAGGCTGGATCAGGAGGACTGTCAGAAGTCAGCCTGGGCTACATAGTAAATACCAGACCAGCCTGGGCTACAGAATAAGATTCTATCTCAAAACAGAACAACAAAACTCACAAAATACATAAATATACTGTCTGTGCCTTCCCATGACAAAAGTGAGTTCTGAGCTGCTGGACGGTTGGATGACAGGATAAATCCAGGGAGGGTGAATACTTGAATGAAGAGCCCCATGCAGGCAGACCATGATCTGGCAGAACACACACACTCACTCACACCACACACACACACACTCACACCACACACCACACACACACACACACACTGCTGCCAGTGATCTAAGTCAGCAGATCACAGAGCACCTAGCATGGGAAGCAGATGCTTTTGCAAGTGGCCCATTAGGAGGAATGATGAGGTTGACCTCTCCCGAAGCTCCCGAAGTCTCCCACCCTCACAGCAGGAAACAGGAACCACTCACTAATGACTGCAGGAAATTGTATCTGATAGCACAGGGTTCTGCCCTGCAAGGCCTGCTCTGGGTCCTTAAACAAGCTGTTCCAAGGCTCTGAGGTTACAGACACATGGGGCAAAGTGTAAGTACAGCGAGCCAGGCAGGTGTGGTGGCTTTTGCCTGCAATCCCAGCACTCAGGAGCTAAATCAGAAGTATTTCAAGTTCGAGGCCAACTTGACAGACACAAGATTTTGTATTAAACAGAAAAGTAAGCAAGCTAACAAAATAATTGTAAGTCTCATGAACAGTTTTCTTGCGCTCAGAGGCAGTTGTAGACTGGTTAGCACGAATGGCAACAAGAGTTCAGAGTTTGGCTCTGGGATAGAATGCTCGCCTAGAATCGTGAGGCCCTGAGTTTGACCAGCACACACATGGACACGGACACACGGACACAGACGGGGAGAGGGTGTCAAGCCAATGAGTCCCCGGCTGACAATACCAAAGAAAACTCAGTGGACGGAAAACAAAAGCCATATCCAAGATCTGGCTGTGGTGGCGCACACCTTTAATCCCAGCTCTTGGAAGGCAGAGGCAATCTGATCTCTTTGAGCTTGAGGCCAGCCTGGTCTACAGAGTGAGTTCAGGACAGCCAGGGCTACACAGACAAAAACACTGTCTTGAAGAGAAAAAAAAAAAACAAAAAAAAAAACAAAAAACAAGCCATATCCAGAGTAAGAGTCTGTTCCAATGAAGACAGATCACTACTGGCTTACCAGGTGTGGGGCCACATTGCAGGCCCACTGGAGTGCTCTGGCGCTGCCAGGAATCTTACCTGTGCCAGCCTCCATGGGCAGAATCATCTGTACCCTGGCTCTACTTGTATGTCTCCGCCAACTTGTTTTAGGGACTTTTCCATAAAACCATAACTGCAGATAGAAGGACAGGGAAGGGAGCAGGAAAGCAAGTGCAATCGGGGAAGCTGCCAATGCCACAAGATGGAGAGATTTAGGACATGCAGCAGTGGATGACATTGATTCCTGATCACCTTGCCTGCACCCCTCAAGTGCTGAGATAAAACCCACATGTTACTATACTCAGATCCCTTTATTTTTTAATGTTTTATTTGAGACAGATTCCCAAGTAGCCCAGGCTGACCTCAAACTTGCTATATAGCTAAGGATGACCTTGAAATCCTGATTCTCCTGCCTCCACCTCCCAAGTTGCTGGGATTACACAGGCACACCCAAATGGAAGCAATCTTGTATTTATTTTTGTTTGTTAGGCTGTTGTGAGTTATATCAGAAACATAAACACATTTGAAAACTCACAAACTACATTGGTTTTATTGGCTACAATGGGCCCCTGGGACTGGAGCTCCAGGAGGTTGTGAGCCATGTGATGCTGGTGCTGGGACTCAAACTTGGGTCTTCAGCAAGAGTAGCAAGGGCTCTTAACTACTGAGCCAGAGCTGGGCTGTGGTGACGCACGCCTTTAATCCCAGCACTCGTGAGGCAGAGGCAGGTGGATCTCTGGGAGTTCGAGACCAGCCTGGTCTACAAGAGCTAATTCCAGAACAGTCTCCAAAGCCACAGAGAAACCCTGTCTCGGAAGAAAAAAAAAAACTACTGAGCCAGCTCTCCTGCCCCTACATTTCCATGTAAATCACTAATATTGCTCTTCAGATGACATATTCTACTCCCCACAATGATGAGCGTGGTGGGGAGCAGCTACGGACACAGAAAACAGTCTGAGGGTCCAGATAAGAAGCCTCATTAACCTGTGACCACAGAGCTACTCGGGAATAGTGATGTCAAGTGCAGCTCTGGTGACAGGTTGTTCAAGGTACAGTCAGTTCGGTGTGAGGTGAGTGTCAGTCAGGAGATACCCTTGGGCTGGAGCCCAGGGACAGAGGCAGGAGTCCTTTCTTCTGACGGTTTCTCCTGGACAAGGCTCAGGAAAGTGACCAGGTGACCAATCTTCCCTTCTACACCTTAGTCTCCAGGTAGTTCTTCTTTTATAGCCCCCACGACAGGGCTGCATCTGCTGTGGTTGATAAGCTCATGCATCTGGTGTTTCCGGCATAATTTGGAGTGCTTTCAGGTAGCATTATTGATTGACATAAGTAAATTATTCACCAGCTTGTGTCTTTTGCTTTGCTGACAGATGATGGCTGTCTCTTGTGTAAACAAGATGTACAGAGTCGGTCTTTCTTGCCATTTATACTTAAAGTGAAATGACTCGGTGAAGGCTGTTGCTTTTGAGTCATTCAGAGCTGGGCACTTTCAGATAGATTTGGAGCCCGTCAGTCTGGTCTCTGCCCTCTTAACAACACAGCACAGACCAACTAGCTCAGACAACAGGAAGTCATCATCCACAGCCCTGCAGACCTGAAGTCTGACGCTAAGATGCTGGTGCCATTGGTTTCTCGTGAGACCTCTGTTCGCACGTGGCCATCTTCTTGTTGTGTCCTCATACAGTCTTTCTTTTATGTCTATGTGTCCCAGCGTCTTAAAGACCTATCTCTAAGCCAGCCAGTGGAGGCACACGCTTTGATCCCAGCACTTGGGAGACAGAGGCAGACGGATCTCGGTGAGTTCAAGTCTAGCCTGGTCTACATAGAGAGTTCCAGGACAGCCAGGACCATCCCACAGAGAAACCCTGTCTCAAAAAACAAAACAAAATCCTATCTCTAAATAGTTGTTTTGAAGAGTAGTGTTCAACATATGGATTGTTGGTGGCTTGTGGGAGATAACTCAGTCCATAACAAGTATCAAACATACCTCCTCCCTTTTACAGTAGCATTTTGTATTACGTACCCATCTTCAAAGTTTGGTGGATCCAGTAATACTCAGTAATAATTGACAATTTACATTATATGGTCTTAGTGATGTATGAATTGTGGAAGGATATACTGTCTGCTGAGATCCCATGTGGAAGAAAGTGACTTCTCAAAGGAGAATGTGTGTGTGTGTGTGTGCGCGCGCGCACACACACTCATTCATTCCATATGCCTTGCTTGTGGTTATCCAATCAAA